GAAGTTTCTCACATTTGAATTAGAACAAGAAGGAGAGAAATAAGCTCGAAGAAAGTGAGAGGAGAGGTTATCAATATGCTCGACTGAAAGGAGAGGGGGAGAGTTCGACCGAAGGGCGAAGGGAGAGGAAGAAAGTCACTCGACCGATAGGGAGAGGAATTGGTGTGCTATTATCCTGAAAACCTGGGAGGTGGAAGTTAGTAGTTCACGAGTGACTCAACCCCAGCGTCGATAAGAGCTCATATACTGGCAAGCCCCGGAATCGACCTGGATTATGATTAATACCAATGGCTCCGTGATACTGTCCACTAATCATGTTGCGGCCGGGGGGGGGGGGGGGGGGGTGGGGGGCTTCTTAGAGATTGGCAAGGCCATTGTCTACAAGCTTTTGCCATGAACCTTGGGTCTTGCTCGGCTAGAAGTTTTGTATAAATGCATCGGCATGCTATTAAGTATTTTGATTCAAATTATTTTCTTTCTAAGAGGTGGAATAGAATAACCCGGTTGAAGCATAATGATCATACGTCTTTAATGCATTGTATGTCCCATAATAGGTTTCATTATTCTACCCTTTCCCGGAAGTCTATGACTATTCATAGCAATTAACTTGACACCAAAGAAGAGTTCGACCCAATGCTTTATTTCTGTCCAAGTTGATCCCGATTCGACATTAGAAGTATATTGATTTATCCCCAATAATTGAAAACTTTTTTCTGTACATACTGCATATTTTATTCCATCCATAAATTTATTTTCTTCCCTATGAGTTATAGTCTCAATAAGAATGCTAGTTCTTACTCTTCATATGTTATGATATGAATATATCATACCAATTCGTTATGTATGAATGATGAGATTCCATTGATACAGAGCCAATTCCAATAGACTTATTGGAGGATCCCATTGGTGTGCATCGAGTAGGAATTGAACCTACGAATTCGCTTATTATGAGTTGGGCGCTTTAACCATTCTAGCGGTGAATCGGGTTGAAAGTGAAAGTCGCCAAAAACTGGCGGAATGCTCTCGAAACCAATTCACTTGAGTGAGACAGAGGAGAGTGGAATTTCATGTGTAGGGGTGAAATCCGGAGATCTACGAAGGAACGCCAAAAGCGAAGGCAGCTCTCTGGGTCCCTACCAACGCTGGGGTGCGAAAGCATGAGGAGCGAATGAGATTAGATATCCTGGTAGTCCATGCCGTAAACGATGAGTGTTTGCTCTTGGTCTACGCGGATCAAGGGCCCAGCTAACAGGTGAATCACTCTGCCTAGGGAGTACGGTCGCAAGACTAAAACTCAAAGGAATTGACGGGGCCTGCACAAGTAGTGGAGCATGTGGTTTAACTAAGCTAACTAACCTAGACTAACCACTAACCTAGCTATTTACAAGGTTTGTAGCTCCCTTGGGTTAAGTGTCCCTATTTTTGACCTTTGGATCGATGTTGAGTATCCTCTTAGTTCGATCGACCCACTATCCTACCGTTAGGAGATGAACTCCCTCAGGACGGACCCGAAACGGTGAAGTGATGGATGGGTAGGAGCCCTATTCAACCTAGGGCACCCCTATATCATAGGAGATCGATCCAATCGATCTCCCTCGGGGATTGCCCGGAAGATATGGGTGAGGATTTGTTTCCCTCCTAGGTCAAAAGCTCGATTGACTCAATTACTCTACCGTTAGGAGATAGGTTCCCTAGGGATGACCCAAAACGACCAATCAATGAATGTGGTAGGCTCTATTTAACCTAATGTAACCCTATATCGTAGGAGATTGATGGAATCGACTCCCTCGTTGATTACCTGGACGATATAAGGTGAAGAGTGACACGAAGACGCCAATAATGGGCTCTATGGGGATTTTCTTCCTCCTAGGTCAAAAGCTCAATACATGAAAATGAAAACTCAACTCATGTCATTCATGAAAACATCCATCAATTAAGTAAAATCATCAATCAAATATGGAATGTGTCACATACATCAACATTAAACCCAAATTTAGACCTAGGGTTCTTAAACCAAGAGAAGAGGGTGAGTTTCTTGAGAGAGAAGAGAGAAATTACAAATTGGAGCCCAAGATCTTCTTCTAGGCTTGAATCCTTGACTTAAAGATCAACCCAAGCCTCCAATAAACTCCAAGATCACTTAAGCTCTCTCTCTCTCACACACACACACTAGAACTCCCCTTTAGTGTTTTGGGTTGAAACCCTAGAAAGAGAATCGAATCCCTCTCCAAAAACCAGCTCCCCCTTTGTCTTCCTTCTGCTGCTTCCTTTTATACCCAGATCGAAGGTTGTTCACGGTCTGAGTTCACGGCCGTGAACTCAAAGCCTGGACTGTGATCTCGGCCAGAAACGCGTTGTTTCACTGCAACACTTCACGGTTTGGAGCTGAAGTTCACGGTCTTATGACTGCGAACTAACAATTGCGCCCAAACCGTGACTTCCGACATTTGTTCACTTTTTTGCGCTTTTCGACCTCCAATCGACCCGAAACTCGTTCTCCTCCTTCCCACGCATACTAGGACCTGAAATGTAACAAAACAAACACAACCTAGCGTAAAATAGATCGAGGAATGATGATCTATTAAGGAAAGCATACAAGAAATAAGGGGTAAAATATGTGCATTTGGACCCGAATCAGGCATCAGAGGGTGGAGAAGATCGCGTACATGAAGGGTCAAGATCGCGAGCGTGATCTTCTCTACAGAGTCCACGATCTCGAGACGCTGTCGTTTCAACCTTCGGAGGTGAGGAGTTCACGGGCTGACTTTGCGGCCGCGATGCACGAGTCTCGGTCGCAAACTTCCTCGTGTGCAGTATGTGCTTCGGCTGTGTTCTGCCTGGGGAAACTCATTGTTTCTCCTCGGCTGCTTCATCATGAAGTTCGCTCCCTAAGCCCTCCATATCGCGGTCATGGTTCTTGGCCGTGATCTTTGGTTACAGGCTATGATCTTTAGTCTCTGCCCTATTTGCTACACTTGTGACCTTATTTTGTACCTAATTCGAATGCAATGTCTAGAAAATCTTAAAATCACGTTGGAATCAAATATGAACGAAATAGAGTTGCAGTTGACACTTTTCAAATAATTATTCACATGATGAGTAGAATAGCATGAGGAAAATCAGCATGCTAGCTAGTGAGTTTGCAAACCAAAACCTCGTCTTCTAGATGCATGTAATACTTAATTTGTTGAGTCGGATGCTTCCACATTGTCAATGAAAGCTCATGAAACGACCTACCCGTTGTCTTTCCATGGAATAAAAAAGCAAATTCCGTTAGCTGGAAATTAATGATGCCGCGGAGGTATTAGGTAAGTAGTTAAATACCAAACACACAATTATGATTAATTTGTTTGCCATGTTCCCACTTCTTCTCTTCTCTCTCTTCCCTCACAGATAGAGTCTCCGCTGAGCTAGCCTAGGTAGCGTGTACAAGGTGCAATGAAGGTGGCTACTCTGGCCAGCCTGCTAACTAAACCAACCCCTTCAACTAATGCAAATAAACTATCAGCATGATCTCTCATTTTCCTTCCTCTCAATTTGTTTAATCCTCCATCCATCTTTCTGGGTTCCTATATAAATAACACCTTTACAATGAGTCTTTGCTATCAATCATCGCTCACAGTTCTAGCTAAGCTAATCTGTCATTTGCATCTAATTTAGCTTCCCTGATCCAGCGCGTGTAGTATATCGGAATATGGCCATCGCCGCCGCTCTCGTGGTCTTGCTGCTGGCCGCTCCGGCTGTTCATGCCGCTAAGCATGACATCAGCTGGAGCAATTCTGGTAACGTCGATTACAACACCTGGTCGTCCGGTCAAACGTTCAACGTCGGTGACACTGTTGGTATAGAGCTTCTCTCATCTCATCTCCTATTTGAGTGCATCATCGTTTTATAGCTAGTATGCAATAGTAGTGTTACTTACTCTTGCAAAACGGTATATGATTGACGATTATTGAACATTTCCCAACAACTCGAGTTATTGGGACTAACGGGTTCTTGATATAGTATCAGAGCCTTCTGTGAGTTTTTCTATTCGATTCCCGGTGATCCCATCTATTTCTGTTAAGCACACTGTGTATGTCCAAACTCCAAGCCTATCTGAATGGCTTGAGTTTTGGAGGAGGGTGTTAGTAAACGATATATGATCCACCATTAAACCTCTCTCGACAACTTAAGTTATTAGGATCAACTGGTTCTTGACAATTATACCTTATCAACTGGTTATTAATATATAAATTAAATGTTGGTTTAATTGACAGAGTTCAAGTACAACAGCTTGTTACACAGCGTGGCGGAGGTATCGCAGAGCGACTACACCGGCTGCGACGCCAGCAACGCCATCCAGACCTACAGCGATGGAGACACCAGCATCACGCTCCCCGCCGCCGGCACAAGGTACTTCATCTGTCCCACCGCCGGCCACTGCAGTGGAGGCATGAAGGTGGCAATCAAAGTCGCCGGCGGGGGCTCGTCCGGCGGAGGTGGTGGATCCCCAACTACCCCAGCCACCACTACTCCCTCGGGGTCCACCACCCCATCCGGATCGTCTACCCCAAGTGCCGGCGGATCAAGCAGCAACAAGGAGCCTTCACCCGCCGGCAGCTACGGCGGCGCCGCCGCTTCCGTTCTGTACAACCTGGTGTTTGGTTCCGCAGCCGTGGTGGCGACAATGGTTGCACTTTTGGGCTAGGAAAGAGGCAGTGCTTGTATGTTATTATGCGATTAATTAAAATGTGCTTGTTTTCTTTTCTTGTGAATTATATTATTATTCTGTCCATCTTTAATTTCATCCATGCAATTATCACTAGTTCTTGTTGTTAATTAATTCCTTGAGTTTGAGATTGTGTGGAGGGGTGGGTTCTATTGATTACGCGTTGATCGGCTTTGTATCGTGAGATATATATTTTCTTTGTTCAACAATTATGTCATTTCTAGTATTAAATTTAGCATTCGGAGGATGACTCGTATTAGTTGACCTAATTCAATAATATATATATATATATCCTATCCTACCAAATACTAATCAAAAAAGCGAGCCTCTGCGCAACCCACGGAAGGGTTTTCTGGTCTTTTTGGACTAATCAATTTATGCCCGCCAATTGCTATCCGCCCTGGTGCTTCAGTTAGCTTCCTCTTTTATTTGGGTTATGCTATACTGTAAAATGGACTTGCTACTTGGATCACTTTTCACATTAAAAAGCACTCTGTAAATCAACTTCATAAAACCATCCAACACACTAATCAAATTTAATTCATCCACTTAAATATAAAACTAATCTAATCCATTTAAATTCAATTCATTTGATCCAAATTCAATTGGATTCATGCATCTTTGGTAATTTATCTTTGGCACCTAAAAATTTTATTATGAAATTTTAGTACTAAAACTTTTCAAAATTTACATGTTGGTCCAATGTATAGATGTCACTTGAATTCATGATCCAATCCACCAATCCGTAAGATTCAATCTAAGAATCGACCAATCCATTTGATCCATATATCTACCAATCATATCTATCACTCCATGGATCCAATCCATTTGTCACCTTTATGACCATGTCCAATTTCCAAAACATATGGGTTTATCATGCGGATTTCACTTTCATGTTGTCAACGTAGCCATTAGTTTTAGTTAGGGATAATGCCTTATTTTGATGAGAATTCTGACATAAATGCAATTTCAACCTGAATGTTTAAATAAAAGATTTTTAACCAAATTTTGAAACAAATAGATAAATGTGGCTTGAAATTAGGGTTGGTCGTTAATATTGGTAGTCAAACATTTCTTTCATCTATGACTCAATTTATTTATAAAATGAAGAATAACTTATTTTGGCCTGAACTTTGATGTAAAAGCAAATTTTGACCAGAATTTTCAAATAACGACATTTCTTCTATCTACAACTCAACATTCAGTTACGAGGTGGTTGTGACATGTATTTCACATCATTTATTTATATAAAAATAAAGAATACCCTATTTTGACTTGACTTTGACGTAAAAGAAAATTTTTTGCCAGAATTTTCAAATATGATAGTTTTTCTGGATTTTTTGCCGGAATTTTCAAATATGACAAGTTCCATGAAGCAAACCAAAAGTCCCAGAAAGTATACAATAATTCTGCTTAAGCAGACCATAAACGTCATAAAGCATACCAAAATTCTCATAAAGCATATCACAAGTTCATTAACGCAAACGAAAAAATATGTGCAACAACTACAAAACTCTCATGAAACATATTAGAAACACAAAAATTCACACCAGAAACCTCAATAAGCAAACCCATACATATAAAGGATGACAATCAATAAAAACAATGATAAAATACATTTCTAATGGTAAAATAATATTTTTTAACAATTAAATTGTTGGGTTTTTTTTTACAAAGGAGGAATGGAGGGGCGGAAGATGACTTGGAGGAAACAAAAAAACACATGAGGAATTAAGGGGTGGGTAGTTACTATATACAGTAGTTCTTTTATGTAATTCCAAATTTATACTACGTGTAGTGATCAACAACAAAGATTATTTGAGAAAAGTATTTTATGGATGTTCAAAACTTCATCAAAGGACAAACATCTTTTTATTGCGAAGATCTCGTGAAAAGAAACTATTATGTTGTTCTTTTACCAACTTTTAATGTCGACAAGACTTTTTGGCAAAAATGTAGTTGAATTAGAGAATGAATATAATGTATATATAAGGTACATGTATTCTATATTGACATGTTATTTATACGTTCTTTAATATTTAATTTTATTACCTTTTCTCTAAATTATTCATTGGCAACTCCCAGAAGAAAACAGTCACTCAAACCTTTACAATATATAGATAAAAATGAACTACTTGCTTATCACATAATACCTCTAAGTTGAGTACAACTTCTATTTAAATATCAAATCTTATGCCAAACGAGCCATACCCTCCCGCTAATGGGCGGGGCCCTGTGCTAGTTATAATTATATATATATGGGTGCCTTCTACGGTACCCCAGGTGAAATCCGGGGTACCGCATACCTAAAATACGAAAACGCTATCTAGACCTCGAATTAGCAGGATTTTTGGGCATGATACTATTCCCTTACCCTTAATGAGTGAACCCTAGGTCCTCATTATATAAATCATAAACTATAAACCCTGAGATGGTGCATTGATTTTTTTGCCTATATTTGGAGGAATCATAACCGTCGATTATTGTTTCTAATTAAATTGATATTGGGGTATAAGATTTAGAGAATTAAGACCTCGATTTTGATTTTTAATGGTTAGAGTATAGTATCATGTCCGAAAGATCAATCAATTCAAATTCTGAATAGCGTTTTCTTACTCCTGGTATGCGGTACCCCAGATTTCACCCTAGTTACGATACAACTCGATATATAATAACATACTGCTGGTTCACTTATTAAAAAAAAACGTAGGAAGGAGAATATTGCGTAAATCGTTGTAATTTGAGTAAGGAGGTCAACGAGCTGGCTGCTTTGGGGTTGAGATAACTATTTCACCGTACACTTTTTATTAGGGGTGGCTATACGGTCCGGTCCGGTTAAATTGGCCCAAATTGAATCCGGTCCAGTCCGATCTTTTTGAAAATATAAGGACCGAAGATTGGATTGGATACAGTCCGGTCTTGATCCGGTCCGGTTTTGATCCGGTCCGGTCCCAATTCGGTCTTGATTTTACAATGAGATTGTGGGATTTGAGTGGCCTAAGGCCTTAAAGGGTGAGGAGTTGGTTAAGTTTTGTACTAAGTGCAAAGGTTTGTGACCGTTTATGCAAATTACCCTTAAGTTTTGGGTATTGAGCTCTCTTATCCGGTTTTTTACCTCAAATCTAAGCCCAAAGATTGAATTGGATTGTTTACTATTCGGTCCCGGTCCGGTCTCGGTCCGGGTTATACGGTCCGATTTCCGGTTTTTAATCCGGTCCCGGTCAAAATAACCGCCCCTACTTTTTATAATCCAAACCAGGGGGAACCCAGAGTAGTGCATCCCCATTACGTACTAGAGCACATCTAGTTTGGTCAAGAAATTATTCACGTTTGGATAGTCTCAAGAAAAAATGGTTCTCTTATAAATTCTTCCTCATCCAATCCAAGCAATATATACAGATGAGAGCAACTCTAGATTAGAGAGATAAAAAAAAAATATATTACCGTACTATCTGCTATATAACAGAGGACCAAACTTACCTGATAGGTAACCTGAATCATATTCCCTCATGGTCATATCTTTCAAATCCCATTACTCAGATAGTTATGACCTTTCTTTGACTGAATGAAATTTGGAGTTGATGTGTCCCTCAAATTGTTTTGCAAAAGAAATTTGTAGAAAAAATTAAAACAAAAATGGACGGGAAAAGTAGTAAGGAATGTGTTTCGTAGGCAAGATCTACCTAGAATTTTTTCGGACGCATATATGAGATAAATAGGGGACATATATATATATATAGGAGATTGAAAAAATTGATAAAGATACCTCCACTCACTATGTTTCATATCCTACCAGTTACAGGCTACCCCATTTTTGGACCAAAGCATCATAGGACCATCTCTTACGAGCTAGAGACATAAGAAATGAAGCTGGAACTCGAAGGTTAGAAATGGTGGCCCAAATTGTTGGCCAAAACCTAAAATGGCGTGTCAAAATAGGCGTGTACCCCTATTTTCTCAAAAACGTTATGGAAAGGGTTACAGAAAGGGTTACAGCTAATTATGGATGTGTCAAAATAGAACCTGATTCTAGTTATCTGTCCGATTAATTTGATCCACAATCCCACATCACATACACATCAACTCACCTTCATTAGGCGGTGAAGCACCTAAAAAATACATATCACATTATATCACATCTCATACACATCACATCCCCTCACCTTCAATTGGCAATGAGGTACCTCAAAGTCCTATCCTCACCTTCAGTAGGCGGTGGTTACCTCAATATACATACAATGCTTGAGGTGTGTCCCTAATTACCCTAGAAGGGGTTACCCAATTTGCTAAGAAGTGGGCAAGACTCAAACGAGATATGAAACCCATCACTCACAAATCATAAAATATCTCAAGCATTATATTAAAACAAACAATCATCACACATAGAGTTCAAATCTAACAACCTACTACATCTCTAGGCTAGGGTTCACAATACCCAAGTGAAAAAGAGAACTACTTCATAGCTAAACTAGGGATTACAACAAAGAAGAGAGAAAGAACTAATGTGTGGTGTTTGAATTCCTTTCTTGTTGTTGAAATCACATTTGGAAGAGGAAAAAACCTTCAATACTCTAGTTTGGAGCAAAACCTAGACCTCTTCTTCTCTCTTGGTTCGTCAATTTCTCTCTCCAAAATCAAAAGAAGATGATAATATCTCACTAGGATCCCCCGTTCAAGTTTCAACTCCCTTCTCCTTTTATACCCAGGTCTCGCACATCACGGTCATTTATCACGGGCGTGATCTCGAAGCTTGGGCCGTGATGTCGGGTAAAAACGCACCATTTCATTTACTACCTTCACGGTCTGGACAAGATTATCGCGGTCTGGCGACTGTGATAAATTCTGAGGTGCGCAAAATTCTCTATTCGTCGCCGAGCTTCGTGGTCTGGCCCTCTTCTTCACGTTCGGTTGATCGTGATAAAGTTGCCCTAACCGTGATCTTCGCCTGGTTGCCCTTTTCGATCCGCTTTCGCCCTCTTTCGTTCAAACTTTCACTTCCAAGGCCAATCTTACCTGCTAGAATCTGGAACAAGATAAAAAAATGCACAACCTAGCGTAAAATCGAACCTCCAGGATGTAAACGTCTCAAACGCCATAAGAACACGGGGTGAAAACATGTGCAATTAGACCCGAATCGCTAATATTTTGATGCATTACAAAAGATTTGACCAATTTTTAGTAATTAATAGGTTTGGCTAATAGAAAAGAATGCAAGAAAGGTTTGGCTAATAATTAGTGTTTATTGAAATTCATTGATGAGGTGGCAGCTGAGTTAGACGCTGATGTGGAGCACCGTTAGAAAATAGTTAAAGATAACAGACTAATGGTTGTTAGTTTGACGTGTTACAAAATATTTGGCTAATTCTTAGTATTTCAATAGGTTTGTATAATAAAACATCGAAAAAAGTTTGACTAGTACATAATGATTATCCTAAAAAAATTTCTAAAAAAAAAAACATGAAGCACAGTTGGGCCACACGACCCAAAGAAATAACTATTAGGGCCTAGATATCCAAGTCGCACCAACCCAGAACGCGGTCCGAAAACTCACCTGATGACGTAATGGGCTTGAAGTAGGAAACCGACCTAGATCCATCCCGGAGAGCTGTTCCTGCTCCTCTGCTATTGCCTTGAAGAACGAAAGAACTATTAACCTTTTCCTCTTAGTTTCCTTCCTCTTCTCGAGCTGCGATTTGAACTCGAGGGAATCGAGGGCGAAGACAGTGCTGGCGCGAAAAAATGGCATCGGAGGATGAAGGAGAGTTTTACCTTCGTTATTACGTCGGCCACAAGGGGAAATTCGGTCACGAGTTCTTGGAGTTCGAGTTCCGGCCCGACGGCAAGCTGCGGTACGCCAATAACTCCAACTACAAGAACGACACCATGATCCGCAAGGAGGTCTTCCTCTCCCCCGCGGTTCTCAAGGAGTGCCGCCGCATCATCTCGGAGAGCGAGGTTTTGCTTGCTTTCATTTTTCTTATTATTCCCCTCTCTATGTCGCTTTCGCTTATCTCACTCCTCGATGTATTTAGGGTTTCACCGGTGGTTCCCTGAGTCGTAGATGCTATTACAACAGCTCTGAAGTTTCAATTCAATGAAACATTCCCTTGTTTGGGAATGAACCTTATCTCACTCCTCGATGTATATAGGGTTTCAGTTGTGGTTCTACAGTCATAGATGTTATCCCAATAGTTCTAAAGTTTTCAATTCAGGAAACAATCCCTTGTTTTCATGGCGTTGTTAACCTTCTAAAAGTTATTATTATTGGGTTTTGGTAAATTATGAAGAAAGACGATAATAACGTGCCGGAACCATATCTCAATCATCGATGCATATTAGATTTCAGTTGTGGTTCCTTAGTCATAGATGTTACTACAATATAGCTCTTAAGGTTTTCAATATAGTGAAACAGTCCCTTCTTTCCATGGTATTGTTTTGTTTTTTTCATTTTGATAATGTTCTTTTCATTGCACATTGTTAACCTCGTAAAAGTTTTGATTGGGTTTTGGTAGATCATGAAGGAAGACGATAACAACTGGCCGGAACCTGATCGGGTTGGACGTCAAGAGCTTGAGATAGTGATGGGGAATGAGCACATTTCCTTCACTACCTCAAAAATCGGTTCACTTGTTGATGTACAGAGCAGTAAAGACCCTGAAGGGCTTCGCATCTTCTACTATCTTGTTCAGGTCAGCTGGCTGCAGCTTTTCGTTTGAAAGTTTGTTGCGTCCGAATTTTATGATGAGTATTGGGTCTATGGCATGTATAAACTGTATCTCTTATCATGTGCTAAGTAGTTGGGATCACATCCTTAGAACTGAGAACTGTATGGTTTTCGTTTTCTTTTGTAGTTTGAATCCCAAACTCTTTGGTCTTCCTGTTGAGTTTTTTTATTTATAATTTCACTCTACATTATATACTGCCATCATTTGGTTTCTCATGATATTGTTTACATGGTTTGACACCTCCAGATAAAAGCAATCTGCTCTTCCATATTGTGTTTTATCTGAAACCTTCATCCTGGTTTACTCTGATGATGGGGGTCATGATGATTTCATGCTTTGCAGGATCTGAAATGCTTTGTGTTCTCCCTCATCTCGCTTCACTTCAAGATCAAGCCCATCTAGTTCACATTGTGTATGGCGTCGGCTGGGATTCTGCAACCAAGTTTTTGGTGCATCTAATTCTGTTTCGTTTGATCTCTTTGAAAGTAGTGGTGGTTATTGGAGCTTTGAGATAGTTGTTTACTGTGGTGAAAGCATGGGGACTTGTTGTACCGTTGTGCGTGAGTGGACGTTTTGTCTTTGAGGGAGCTTCGGACTAGAACTATGCTTGTCATATATGTGAGTCCCTCCATATTATTTGATCTCTCGCTAATGTAAAACTGAAAAGACCAGATCTCTCTTATTATGCCAAAAACCTGGTTCAACCAGTTGAAAGTTCCTCCTATACAGCGTCAAAACTCTGCTAGTTTTACAAAGGAACTGTATCAATCGGATGAGCGTCGGTGGAGAGGACTTCTCAAGTTTCCATCCAGCTCATAATCGCTTAACATCACAAGGTTTGTGTCTTCATTCGAGTACCAGCAAGCCAACACCAATGCAAAGGATGCCTTGTTGACATCGACATAAGCTATCACACCACCTGGGAGCCAAAGAAACGTCAAATCTCGTGTGTCAAACATCTCTTCACCAAAATAATCTGGATTTCCTGGCAAGCAACACTTTGTCCAGGTCTCGGTACAAAGGTAGACATTCGGAGAAGAATCATTGCCATTGATATCTGGCATAATCTCTGCTACGAAAATGGCCGAGTCCTTCTCCGCTGACAATATGGCTTTAAATTGAACTCTGCATCACTGCCTCTGCCACCATATAAATATGCCATGTCAAGTTCATGAGAATGAGTTGCAGTTTTGGACCCGAACTCATGAAAATGTTAAGTATTTAGCCTGGTGACGTACCAGCCTCAATACTCAATTGGTGTGGTATGGTTCCATTGGGTTAATTGCATGGTTGGTCACTGAAATTACAAAAAAACGTTTATGTTTGGTCACTGAAAATATTTAAATACATTGATGGTTACTAATTTTAGTGAAAATGTTCATGTTTGGTCACTCTCCGTTAGTCTCCGTCAGCCTCCGGTAAAACCGTAGTTTTTTTGCTGACGTGGCTGACAGAATTGATAACTCAGTAACTCACCCAATTTTAACCCAAAAAACCAAAACCCGGCCCGCCATGTCATAACAACTCTAACCTATGACCCAACCCCATTTAAACCATTACAAATTAAAATCGGTTACCTGACTGAGCTCTCTTCCCTACACCTCCCGACCCATATGTTTCTCCCCCACTGAACAAAGTCTGTCCAGATCTATTTTGATCCGACGAGCTCTGTCGACCATCACCATCCTTCACCGATCTCTTTTCCTGTCACTGCCGCCATCGCCTTGTCCCTGTACTTTGGAGATCACGAGGAGCCTAAGAGGAAAAGCAAATGTCCTGTACCATCCCTTTCTATTATGGCTGGCAATTTGGTTCAGGACTGTTTGGTTTTACCCGAAACCGGTCTGTATAACCCAGACCAGGACCGGACTGGGACCCGATAGCAAACAATCCAATCTCATATTCGGGCTTACATTTGAGGTAAAAAACTTGGATAAAGACCGGATAAGAGACCCCAACACCAAATCCCCACAAGTTCAATCTATAATCAAAATCAAATTGGCACCGGACCGGATCAAGACCGGAGTGTATCCAATCTAATCTTTGGTCCTTATATTCCCGAAAAGACCAGACTGGGACCAGATCAATTTGGTCCAATTTAACCGGACCGTATAGCCACCATACTTTCTATCATCGGCACCAAATCTCAAAGATCCCCCAGGAGCTGCTGCTTCAAGCTATGGTGGCGACTGCTGGTTATCCTAGAGTCATGCGGAGACGGCGAAGGGAGGAAACAGACCGATGAGGGATTTCAAACTAGAATATGGAATTGGGGTTCTAGGGTTAGCGGAAGCAGTTGATAGATAGGAGGGGAGACTCACGTCAATCAACTCCGCGAGATTCACCGTTAATCTGGGTTAAGGGTTTTGTCAATTAGCTCCTACAGATTCATCATTGATAGCCACGTCGACGCTTCATACTCGTATGCTTACTCTGCTCCTGCTCAACTCGGCACAACAGGCGGCTGGATCACAATTCTTCTTCTTGCAGTCAAATTGAAGGTAGCCACCACCTCAATACCATTTTGAATCCTTTGCTTCTCCCGTCTTTTTGAATCTCGAAATGAGGGGCCCTACGACGACCACCTCAATACCCTTTTGATTCCTTTGCTTCCGACGACGGTTGGGCGATTTCTGGATTCTACAGCCGCTTCTTCCTCTTCGTGGCTGAGTCGGTGAGCTGGGTGCGCGTACGATTTTGTGTACCTGGTCAAGATCTTGACTCGGAGGTCGTTGCGCGGCGGGTTGGAGTTCTTGGGCTTGTGGTTGACGGTGCCGCCGGAGTAGCAACCGGAGGAAGATCGATGCGATGGTTTTGTAAGGAGTGGGAAGAAAGGTCTGTGGAGTTGATTATTGAGCGGCCGAGAGAGAAAGGGAATTAAGTGTTTTTAGAATTATTATTTTAATTTTAGTGGGTGGTCATGGGTTATTGGATTGGGTAGAGTTGGGGTAATATGAGGTGGCATGTTTTTATGACGCGGCGATTAAGATTTTAAGTATTTTAGGTTAAAATTGAGTGACGATACATTTTTGTTAGCTACGTCAGCAAAAAAACTAACGTTGTTAATGAAAGGTAACAGAGAGTGACCAATTTGAACTGTTTCACTAATCTTAGTGACAATCAATGGATTTAAATATTTCCAGTGGCCAAACATGAACGTTTTTTTAATCTCAATAACCAAACATGCAATTAACTCATTCCATTGAGTTTGACCTAGTAGCTCTCCCCGTCTTGTCTCGCTCCTGACCAATGCAAACTTCGGCATGTTAATGTTGCCCTTTCTCTGTGCTCTTTCTCCTTTATGTTGTCATTTCTCCTCAATAAGCACAAACAAGATACAACAATAGATCATTAATTGAAAGGGGTCATGTTTCAGCTTAGTAAACACTAAAAGGAAAATTCCAAAAAAGATTTTCACAATTAAGAGTGAGAAATCGAGCAAAACAAACTATAAAAGCAATAAAGAACACAGTGATTTAACGTGGTATCTCCGACAAGTCGGGACTAATCCACGGGAGAGTCTGAACCTCTTCGGCTACTGTTTGTTATTGCTCGTCAAGTGAGTACGGCCGCCGATTACATTGTTTATATAACCCATCATCTTAGGGTTGTACAAGGAGACTTCTCCTTCCAGGTCATGCAAGTTGTGCTGGAGGAGAGATGCGGCTGGGCCGCTGGAGCTGAAGTGGGTCCTGCAAGCTGCTCGTCCGTGCGGCTTGCTGGGCTTGGGCAAAGTAGCGATAGTGAAGTCCAATACTCCCCAACAAGCTGGAGCGTGAAGGTCACGAACGTTCGGCTTGGACAGTAGAAAACGAAACCTATCAGCACCCAAACCTTTAGTGAAAATATCCGCGAGCTTCAAGTGCGAGCTGACCTTCAGAGGGAGAATATCACCAGATTGGACACACTCCCGTACAAAATAAAAATCCATTTCCACGTGCTTGTTACTCTCGTGAAACACTGGATTCGCAGCAAAATGGAGCGCGACCTGATTATCACAGTAAAGAGGAGCGGGGCGTTGCTGCGGGACACCAAGATCGGCCAGAAGCCATCGGAGCCAAAGAACCTCACTGACTGTGCTAGCCATAGCATGATATTAAGCTTCGGCAGAAGAACGAGACATGACCTTCTGCTTCTTTGTGCTCCTAGAAACGGGAGCACTGCCTAGTGTAACAAAATAACCGGAGGTGGAACGCCGAGTATGCTCGCAGCCTGCCCAGTCTGCGTCACAATTGGCAGTCAAAGTTAGATCATTCTTGACTGGAAGGAAAAGACCCTGCCCAGTCTGCATCACAATTGGCGAGTCAAGTGATGATTCTGCTCAACGGGAAAAGCGCTAGGGTGAGTCCCTTCAACCCATGCGTCCTCTAATATGTCAAGTGTGTACTTGTGCTGACCTAGTACCACACCATCCTTGGTATGCGCGAACTCCATACCTAAGAAGTAACGAAGCGGACCGAAGTCCTTGATGCTGAACTAGTCATCCAAAAAGCGTTTCACCTTGTTGATAAACACCAATTCATTCCCTGTCAGGATGACAACGTCGACGTAGAGCTGCCACATAAGTACTCCCCCGTTGAAAGATAAACAGAGAATGATCGGCATGTGAGGGCCGAAAACCGAACGAACATAATGCAGTAGTAAACTTGTGGTACAAGCTGCGGGAGGCCTGACGAAGTCCATAAATAGACTTATGCCAACGACAGACTCGTGTGTCACCAAGCGTAGCAAAATTGGGGGCAACTTCATGTATACTTCTTCATCAAGATCACCATGTAGGAAAGCATTATTGACGTCAAGTTGATGAAGATGCCAACCGCGGCTAACAACAATAGCCAAGAGACAACGAACATTGACCAGTTTTGCTACTGGAGCGAAAGTGTCGTGATAGTCAATGCCTTCCACCTGTGTGTATCCCTTTGCCACAAGTCGCGCCTTGAAGCGCTCAATAGTACCATCCGGACGATATTTGATCTTGAACACCCACTTTGCTGCAATAGCACGCTTGTCAGGATGGAGGAAAATGAGACTCCATGTCCCATTTTGTTGGAGGGCGCGAATTTCCTTCAGCATGGCTTCACATTAACGCGGGTCTTCAAAAGCCTCACGGAAAGAACGCGAAGGGTGACTGCAGCAAGAAAAGAGTGATAGGTGGGTTTAAAATGATCATAGGAAACAAAAGCAGAGAGATGATATGTGACTTCAGGCGAAGAACTTCCCTGAGTATCAGAAGATGCACTGGTAAGTTGAGCAAATTGGATTTCGTAAATGCCCGGATAATCTGGGCGAACTCGGACGCGATCGCTGCATCAAGGTGCTGGAGGATCCACGTGAGCTGGCTCATCAGCGAAGGAACCGAGCTAGGAGGAATCCTAGGTTGTGGTAGTGTGCTGGGTCGCATGGCTGGGCGGTAGATCTTGAGGCCCAGAATGGGGCCCATCTGTGTTGGGCTAGGCAGTACGTGGCCCAGAAGAGGAGCCCGCTGTGTTGGGTAGGATAGGGCTCTGTGTGGGCCAGGCGAAGCCGAGCAAATGGGACTGGTGCTCTCGTGCAGACCAGGTAAAGCTGGGCTAGGTGGCTCCGGAGCAAAGGAGCGAGGCCCAAGATCGTCGAGGAAGGCTGTATCCGAGTCCAGAGGAGGCTGTGAGAAGACCGGCGGAGGGATCCAGTGGAAACGCTGGGAATCAGTAGAGTGGAAAGGGAATTGGGTTTCATGAAATTGCACATCCCGTGAAGTAATGACCTTCTGTGTAGCAAGCTCATAAAGTCGATACCCTTTATGACTAGAGGCATATCCAACGAATACACACGCACGTCCGCGTTCATCAAACTTATCAAGTGATGCATGAGTATCCTTAGCGTAGGCTAAGCAACCAAAAACACGGAGGTGAGAGTAAGGAGCGGGTTTCCCAAATAATACCTCGAATGGCGTCTTACTATTCGCAGTAGTGGGCAACAGATAAGCAGCAGTGACAATACATTCTCCCCAGAAACGGAGAGGCAAACTTGCCTAGAAACGGATTGCGCGAGCAGAGTCGAGGAGATGACGATGTTTCCGCTCAAC